TAGGAGTCTGGTAACGCTTCTCAGGTGAAAGAACATACTTATATGGCACACACCACGATTGTACTTTTAATTACTTGGGAGACATTCAGATACTAACAACCACCCCTAAGGAAAAACAGCTTGATGAATTTATAGGTTTGTTTACATGAGCAAGAGGGTGTGTTAGGTAATTTATGAAGAAGTTACTGAGGGAAAATTAAATTGAAGAAATTACTTTTGCACTGAGGTCTGAAAGTGGTAGTTTTGTGATGACTCACCTCTTTTACTGGAGAGAGTTCCACAATCTAGGTTGAGCTCCTGTGAAAATTCTATCTCCTGCTCTCACAAGCCTCCCTAAGTGAGTTCACAGGTTCACTATTGTCCTGATTGACTGCAGCTGTCACAGGAGATCATGGTTGTGCACAAAACACCATTCTCTCCAGAAGCTAAAGTCAATCCCATGGAGGACTTTGAATATCAGGAGGGAAAAACTGAACAGGAATTTATTCACTGGGGAGCCCGTGCGGAGAGTACGGTATCCTGATAACACGTTCCCAGCAATTTATATTGCAAAGTGGACAACTGCTGCATCTTGTATCAGCTGGAGTTGCATCAGCATATGTTGCCTCGTTCCTAAATATAACAAATTCAAATAGTGAAGCCTGGTAGTCACAAATTCATGGATCGCCACAGCCAGGCCTGTATCAAATGGAATGTGGCACGAGTAGACTAATCAACTATGTCATAGACCTTCCAAATGCAGCTCTCTTCACTGTACAGCAATAATTTAAAAATAGCTTACCAATTTTATTGCGATCTTCTCCTGCTTGATTCTGAATGAGAAGGTTTTTAGTGTGAAAGATCTGCAGGCCAGTTGCTCCACCAGCAAAGACTAGCCCATATTTGTTCGAGATGGCAAGGAGACTGGAACGTTCTTTAGGGAGTTCGTCAGGAGCATCAAATATTCGGACTTTCTTCAACGCTCTGAACTGAAAATCCTGTCATAAAATAGAGTTAAAAAGCAATTTTAGTTGTATATATGTGGGGCAGGGAAGGGGACAGAAAACTGAGTTTCACTTACACCTGGAGAAACTGAACTCATTAAAAAGCACTTTACACTTTCCCACTACTATACATACAGCCTCTCAATTGTTACTTCCCACATGGTTGCCAAACCACGAGCTCCTGAAAATGATTTTGAACAGTTTACAGACCACAACGACAAAAATATTGACCCTAAAACTGACCCAAGGTAAAATCATTTGTTACAATCACTTCCAGATTTTTTAAAATATACAGAGAGTGATAGTTCCATGAATTATCTATAAACAGATGGGCCAGGGACTTCACTCAGCACATTTGGTATTAGTGAGATAAGTAATGCAGAATAGGAAAGGCTGTTATTAATCTCATGAAACACTTTAACCACAAACAGTAACAAGTGCCTTTTCAACAGGATATTGAAATCTCTCTCAGAGAGGTCTATTAAATCATTTCTTCTTCACTTTATCTACTTTGCAGCTTGAGCGCCAAGTTATTTTCAAGCATCTTTTTAAAAGTATTTTTCTATCAGGTGTCCTAAAATGGACCACTTCTTTTCACTGTTTACAAAAGAAATTAGGAAGTCACCATTTTAATTCCTGACAGGCATATTTTTTTTTCCAAAGTTTGATAATCCTTAATATACTTGGCACTAATTGGCAGCATTTGGAGAACATGAAGACTTTCCTAGAAGGTAGCACAAATCTTCAATTTGAAAAAAACCTGTGCGTCATGGCTAGTAGAGTCAGAGTGACAGTTAGGGGACACTCAACTTAAGAGTGGTATACGTGTCTGAACATATTTTTACCTGCTATTGTAGTAACACTTAAGATAACTATACCCAAAAGAGTAGGAAAAAAATCCCCCGCCTTCTCCCCCTTGAATGTTTACTTCGTGCATTTGGCAGTAGTTTGCGTGTAATCACACACACACACCCCTATTGTTTGCATTGGGCTTCTGCATCACACGAAACAGAAAAATAGGAAAAAAGGTGATTACAAACCATAACATTTAAAAGCTACATATAAGTGCTGATTGATTGGACAGAGAACTTAATGGTAACATTACGACTATGCAGAAAACATAGGTTCTGTTTAGGATTCCAGTCTCACTCTCAAATAGGTTGACACAAAAACACACAAACCAATGTTTTAAAATATAATGGTGGTGCCTAACGTTAGGCACCTAAACTAACTGCCTGACTGGGAGAGGGAGGATACTGACCACTCACTAGGGTGACCAGATGTCCTGATTTTATAGGAACAGTTCCACTATTCAGGGCTTTGTCTTATATAGCCACCTATTTTCACCCTGTTCTAATTTTTCACACTTGCTATCTGGTCACCCTAGCACAGGGGCTCTCCAAACTGGGGGTTGGGACCCCTCAGGAGGTCGCAAGGTTATTACACGGGGGGGTCACAAGTTGTCAGCCTCCACCCCAAACCCCACTTCGCATCCAGCATTTACAATGGTGTTAAATATATTAAAAAGTGTTTTTACTTTATATTGGAGGGATTGCACTCAAAGGCTTGCTGTGTGAAAGGGGTCACCAGTACAAAAGTCTGAGAACTACTGCCCCAGCACCTGCTGATGTAAAAGGCACTTGTGGGTGCCCCACACCCCTGCAAAAAATTATCAGGCCACTTATTTAGGTGTCCCCTTCCCTTAGGCACTTAGTAAAGTGCTTAAATATAGATACAGGTGTCTAACTCGATACCGCTGGGCATGGAAAACTGAGGAAGCAACTGCATCCTGCCATATGCAGCAATGTGTCAACTAAATAACCAGCCTTGCTACCAAGCTCTATGAGAGAAGCTGGCTTAGCTCCTGCCTGGAAAGAGAACCAGCCGCCCAGGCCGCCCCATGCGTGGCGCTCGCCTTGGTCCAGTGAGTAACATGGACCCCGACAACCTGGGGTCCCAGTTCCAGGGCTCCCCCTATATAGGGGAGAGGAGGATGACTGGGGCCGATGAAGAGGATACGTCTGAACACTGGAAGAGCGGACAGCTGCTGGGCTGGGTGACGGGCTGCCACCACCCCACCCCAGCTCCCCCAGCCCCCCGTCCACCCTAACAACCCCCCCACCCCAGCTCCCCGCCCCCCCCGGCCACCCTAACAATCCCCCCACCCCAGCTCCCCGCCCCCGGAACACAGCCCCCCCACCCCAGCTCCCTCCCCCCGCGTAGCTCCGCACCCCGGAACACAGGCTCCCCTCTCCCCCCCACCCCAGCAACTCCCTCCTACAACCCCCTTGGGGCCCAACGCAGGGGTCGAGCCCCTCCCGCCCCAGGGCCCACCAGGCCCCCACCAGGCGTCCTCCCGCAGCCCCAATGCTCCGCACCGGGCCCCCAAACCCGCCAGCCCTCCCGCACCTTCATCTCCCGCTCGGGGACCACGTCCATATCGTCCCCCATGGCTCCGGCTCAGCGCGGGCGCCAACCGCTCCGCGCCTCCTCCCCGCCCCCGCGCTGCGCAGGGACCTGAGCGGGCGTTTCCGCTTCCGGCGGCCATCAAGCCGAAAGAGCCGCTCTCGCCGCAGCGCTCTATGGTAGCGCCTCTGGCGCGGGGAGAAAGAAGCCTAGATAGAGGTTTAAGGTGGGGGGGGGCGGGGCCTAATGCCCGGGGGTGGGAGCTTTGACAGGGAAGGGGCGTGGCCAAAGGGGTCAGGGGAGCCGTCCGCTCTGCGGGGCAGGGACCGTTGGTTTGTACAGCGCCTAGGGGAAACAGTCCAGGCTACAGCCACCTCCCGGTCACACAGTGATGCGAGAGACTTCCTTCCTGAGCACAGCTGAGGCTTACGACACTGCAAATCAGGAAGCGCCCCCCTTCCCCTGGCACCCAACACTAGAACAAGGTAGCAGGCGGATTTCATCTCTGCTTGGCTCCCTTGTTAAGCTGCGGGGGGCTGGAAAAGCAGCGCAGAGAGAGTTCAGCTGCAGCTGTAAGGTAGTACAAGGGCATGTGTTTATATCACCCTAATGGGCATTTTAGAGCCTACAAAACACTTTCAACTACTACCCCTTAAAACATTTTCTCTCTAGATCGAGTGGTAAAACCCTGTTTTGGGCAGGGGGAGCTGAAGGACAAAGGTTCTAGTCACAACTCCACACCTGGATGCAAGGATTAAATGTCATACTGTATTATGTGAAGCATGTAAGAATGTCAGAAAGTCTTCCAAGTGTAAACCTTCCCCCTTTTTAAAAACGAACAATACATTCTGAACTTGCACTGGCCCCAACGAGACATATACATTCTTTAGAGAGGCTGCTGGCAAGGCCTCGTCCCCACGTCCCACTATGCTGGGGCAAAAGGGCATCTCATACTCAGCCTTCCGTGATGATGGAAAAGAAATCCACCTGCCATCTCCTGGAACCATGAAGCTTGGTCACTGCTTGGATGATTATTTATGGAGACCCAGATGGTTTAGCCAAACCATTGTAAAAGCGAGGGTGGAGAAGATCTGTCAGAAGAGTCTTGTTGCTCCTGCCAGACAGGTGTGCACATCAAACAGTGACACTGAAGCAAGTGAGCAGCCAGGAGGCAGCCTGAAATTTATTTCATGAATGTTTGATTTTATAAAAAATAAAATAAAATAAACCTTCCCTTGCACTGTTTAACTCAAACATTGAAGCATTTGATCAGTTACTGACTTAAATGATTTTCACCTGTCTTATACTGATGTAATTTAAGTGCCTATTCTGGGGTTTGCACCCTTTTAACTAAATTGATTTAAAAACTAAGTTTTCGTTTATTGGGAACAACTTGAGTTTAGACAAGGCTCCGGAGTAGCAACATTAAATACACTTTTGCTTCACAGAGTTTCAGAAGATTTATTTTCAGTCTGTACAAGTAGAGCTGTGCTGCCCTCACCCACAATGTCTCTCTCCATTGCCGTTCTGAGACAAACAAGAATAGCAAGGCATTTTTTAAAAAGGGCAGCCTTTAGCAGGCGCAATAAGACAAGTTAGAGTTCCAAACAATAAATTGGGTATCTGTTTTTATTTAAGGCATGATTTAAAAAACCACAAAAGTTAAAAGCTGCCAAGGACAAAGGAAAAAAAAGCCAGAGTGGGAGGGAAGAAACACGATAAGCAATGAAACCCCAGGGGCAAACAACTACGTTCCAAGCATTGTAAATACAGAGTACACAGCAACGAACACTTCAATGTCCAGAGCACAGTCCTGCTAGATCTAAGTTCTGGTATGCAGGGGAGTCTTTCCCACCCCCAAAAGTGAGACATAAAGATCCCTGTTCCCATAAAAAAAAAAAGTTCACGTGCTCAATTTTAATCGCACAGTAGTCCCATTGAAATCAACTGACTCTGCATGTGAGTAAATTCAAGCACATAGGAAGGAGTATGTTTGGAGGATCAATGTCTAATTTAGGAGGTTTTGAGGGCATCAATATGAACAAACAGACTCATCCACAGTTCTTCTGGAACAGCTTAAAGACTCAGACTGGAGTCCCATTTCCTTGACCTACAGGTTCAGCACATCACAGGCCTCTTCTGTAAAATTCGAAGGCAAAAAAGCTGGGCTCATTCTCCCACCACCCCCAATATTTCAGGTGCAAGATAACAGCCAGTTCCAACTGGCTGTTAAAACGGGATTTATTCTAGGCACTTGAACGGATCAGTCAGTGGAGCAGAGGAAGGCTGCAAGCTTCAGAAGCCAGCCACTTATTCACATTACAAGGAAAACAAACCCAATATATTATGAAGTTTACATTTTAACTATATAAATATAAGCAGACAATGGATGCACAGCTTCTACCACAGATGACTTAACAGAATAGTTTCTCTAGCTTCTAAAAAGGAGATCACAGTTGCAAGGGCTTATTCCCCTTGGTCAAAGAGGGACCCTACGGGGTGCTTGCTCTCTGTCCTGCACCATAGTCAAAGACGGAAGTTTTTTGTTGTCTTCTGGTTGGAGGCCAGTGATTGTGATTGGGAGGGCAATTCTTGCCTATTTTTAGTCTCACTGCTGTTATGAGCTCCTTTAAGTTACAGCTATGCAGGAATTCTTTAAGTTACTTGTGCATTCTTTAGTAGTTGCCATATAAGCAAACAATTATATGTTCCTGCAGACAGCTTGAGAAGTACACTTAGGGCTTAAATCGTGCACCTTGGGCAGGCAAAATACTGGTGGATGTCAGTGAGAATTTTGCCTGCCTTAGAACTGCAAGACAGAATGGGAAATCCAGGCCTCATTAGAAAGTCAATGGCAAAATTCCCATTGATTTCAGTAGGGCCAGGATCTCACCCAGAGGCTTTAACAGGTCCGCACTCTCATGGATTTGCACCCTAGTTCAAAAAGACACATGCAAGGTGTAACCACCAGCAAAATCTCTTCCACAGTCCTGATCAACAACGAAAGGAAACAGGGCCCCAAAGAGCCATCCCAGTTCGGCACCAGATCCCGCGCATCCTGGAACTGGATGGAGGCGTAGGGTAGAGCTGAGAAGGCACGTTACAAGGTGTGGCAGGGCAGTACTCATCAGCAGCCTCAGGAGACGCAGATAGCAAGGTAGTGACTGGCAGCAAGGCCATGTTAAGAACATACCAATTTCCCATGGGAGTGACTGGAGGATGCTCTGTGCCGAATGCAGATTCGGCATTTGATTCATTGTGGCTCAGGATCCACCTGTTCAAAAGGAGGCAGCCCTTTCTAGCAGAGAGATCCATGCTAGAGACCACAGAGATCAATCAGCAATTTCTCACCTGAGAACCACAGGTGGGGTTGCAGTTATTTTTGGTATCACATTTACACTTTTGCTACCGATGAAACTGGCTAGGGGACGCAGCAAAGAGACAGCTACCTGTGAACTGGGGGTCCTTGGGCTTCCCTTGTCATTCCTCTTCTAAGGCAGATTAGTTTCTATCACTAAGACTGACCAATGTAAAAGTAACAAAACAGGTAACCCTCCTTACAGACCACCATGGTGCTGACAGATTTGGCTCTCAGCCTATTGCCTTCAGGGAAGACTGGCAATATCTCTCTCTGGAGGTGGGCCAGAAGGCTTTGGGATGTTTTCATTGGCTTTTCCTTCAAACAGCATGACTCTGGAAAAAACAAACAGTCAGAAGCATGAGTTAAGAAAACAGGTGAAAGTTTAACCCATCACCAGGATCGACAACATCTGTTGGAAAACAACAAGGTCTTTCTCCTATGCTAGAAAGTCCAGTAGTTGGAATGCAAAACTGGGTGTCAGGATTCCTGGGTTTTATTCCTAGCTCTGCCCCTGACATACTTTGGGCAGTGTCTTCACCCTTCCGCGTATCCATTTCCCTAACAGTGAAACAGAGATGTTCTACATTGCACAGGAGTGTTGTGAGGCTCAATACATGCCAGCAAAGTGCTCGGAGATCCCCAGATGCAAGGCCTTATAGATGTGCAGAATAGTAACTGGTTTATGTTTTTCTTGATCCGCTCTAAGCTGCAAAAATATGGCTGTGCTATTTCCCCATCGCCACCACTACTCTGTAGCCAGTAGAGGGCAGTATTGCCAACACAGTACAAGGCACAGTATCTCATTTTTGAAGCAGCCATAAAAGTTGTGCCTTGAATGTCACTTGCAAAGTCGCCCATTTGGTTCCCATCTGAGAGCGCAAGGGATTTGTATGTTCACTTTAAGCAGCCACTTGAAGTTGATTGAGAACACATGGCAGATCACTGCTTCTAATACACTATGCCTACAGACATGTGCATTGGACAGCATAACTAGCCACCCCCTGGAAACTACACTGCATGCACATTCATAAGCAACAACAAGCAATCCACAGCGACTGTGTGCTGGAGAAGGAGGAGGAGTGACTGCCGATTGGGTGGGGTTGTAACTGGAAAGAGAATCCAGAATGCTTTTTAAACTGTCACTGCTTTATTCCTCCCTCAGAATTGTAGCCACTTAGCAGCTGGCAGCTGCTATCTTGGTTTGGTGGCTTTTGCTGGGACTGGAACTTTGCATTTACAATTGGAGCAGAAACTCAACCCTGGCCTGAGGACAATGGGATGCTTGTTTGGGTGTCTGCTGAGAAGGGACCTGTCTCTGTCTACCTAAAACTAGTCATATTGGGGCAGAGGATGGAGAGTATCAAACAGGCTTCAGCAGGGGAAGAAGGTTGCCAAGAGCGTTTGTGGTAGGAGTCACGGAACTATTAGGAACAAATCCATCGCTGGGGGAGAAAACTCCAGAAACATCCTTCACTAACATACTAACCAAGGGCAGTTAAGGGGAGAGGGGTGGTAAAGATTTCCCTCACCATAAATACACAGCAGATTAATGGCAATTGTTCTGCTGGTGTGGGGAATAAAATGATTCCCTTAACATCCACTTTGGAGAGCCAGTCGCACTAGAGGTATCCTTCAGAAACGGACGAGGGGCACAGAGGAGAGAGGACCCCATCTATCCATCTTGGTTAAGCACAAAAGCAGTGCTAGCATGGTTGGTGGCCATGAAAGGCAGAGAGGATTGAGGAGGGTGGGGAAGGAGCCCATAGACTCCACCCCACTGCTAGGGGCAGCCAAGCTGGTGCCCAGAAGCCATTTGTTACAACAGCAGGGCTTTCACCGCCCTCGTCAGGAGGGCACAAAAGGCTGTGAGAAGCTTACACTAGTGGCTCATACCACAGTAGAAGTGCCTCCCTCCCCCGCATGCACTGCTTCAAACGTGCCTCCTCCACCCGCTCCGGTGCCAAGGGAACAAGGAAAATCTTGGCACCAGGCAGGGGGGACTCTGGAATGGATGTGAGGAGATGGGAAGGGGGATTCTGTAGAAAGAGGCAAGTGACAGGAGCCTCCCTGCTTCTCTGCACGGTCGCTGAATTCCCAGTTCAGTGCGGACGCCTTTCAGACAGGAAAGCAAGAGGGAACCTACTGTCCTGCAAACCCGGGCAGACTCAGGTGGGAGAGAGGCAAAAAAGACCTAATCGCTACACTAGCCTCCCCCACCCCCGTCTAGGGTTACAGCTAGATTGGGGCATGAGCGTGATAGGACCTGGGTGGTCCCTGGGGAACACCTGTGTGGACACACAGGTGGTCCCTGGGGAACACCTGTGTGGACACACACCAGGCCACAGCCTGACTACGAGGCTATGTCTGTATTGCAATCACAGAGCGTGACTGCAGCTCACGTAGATGCAATCTAGCTAGCTCGGTTACCGGCGCAGTGAATCACGGCAGCATGGGCTACAGTACAGGGCTGACCCCATGAGTAATGACCCAGGGTTCCAGGCAGGCTTGGGCAAGCCGTGCTGAGGTGCGTGGTGCCGTGGCTTCGTTTCTATTGGCACCCAAGCTAGCTAGATCGAGCTAGCTGGCGTACATCTACTCGAGCTGCAGCGGCACCCCATGATAGGCCTATTGTGACTGTGTGGCGCACCACCTAGGAGGGCTGAGAGACGGGCCACAGGCTCAACCAGGCAAGTGGCTGAGGACTCCAGCGTACTGCATCCTGTGTGCTTTGGAGCTGCTTTAACCCTGCCATGTCAATGCAGGACAAAGCCTCTTCCAGATACACCAGGCACCTCTGTAGCACATTCCTGGCAGCATGAGGTGGTGACAGACTTAGGACAGCCCTACCCCTGGATCTGGCACATGGTCCAACTTTGGAAGGTAGATTGAAAGCAAAGGGGGCCTGGAGCCACCACAACTTCAGCCCCCCTCCCCTCAGGCTCAGCCCTCACCCTGGCTGGACTCCGACTCCCGCCACAGTGACTCCCAACTCCTTCCATCCTTGAGATGCCGTTCTGCTCATTGCCTTCCAGAGACATTCTTCATCCTTTTCCCCATTCAGGCTTCCCAGCTTGTCTAGGACACATGGGTTCTTGCTCCATCTTTGCCCCTCGGGGACATGCAGAACAGCCCCTGCCTCCTGCTGCACCTGGCCCCCGAACCTCCAAAGCGTGGAGCGCAGATCCCAGCATCACATCCTTTGTCTGCCCCCCAAACACCGCCAACACTCACAATTTAAGGACGGCGGAGCGCTTGCCAAGCATCACGTTGACGAAGTCCTGGTAAGAGATGGTTTCGCTAACCCCTCCAGTCACTTCAGAGATCATCTTCTTCAGCTCTAAGTGCGTCTTTGGAGCCCCCAGTTTCTCCATCATCCTTTTGACAGACATCAGATCTGCAAGAGGAAGAGCCAGAGAACCAATGCCAGGAATGGTGGCGGCGGGAGATAGTGCAGCACTGAACGTGACTAATAAGCCTTCGGGATACAGGACATCTACATTAACAACTCAGTCCTCCTCACCTCTTCAGTTACAAGCCAAGCATGCTCAATGGGCAGCTCCGAGATCCAAAACAAAAGATCCAGCAAAACCTAAGCTGCCATTTTTTGCTGACCATGGCCACTGTGCCTCACGTTTCCAAGGTATAAAATAAAAAAATAATGCAGGAGAGATCCCTTGCAGCCCCATGCTGCTCTTGCAAAAGTCAGGGCTGACAGTCAGCAGCAGAAAGGTACCACATAAACCAAGAATTACAGATATTTTTCCTCTGGGTGATGTCTAAGTTCGTTTAGTTACCAAACAAGTAACGGTGGCGTCCATACTATTATACTTGTGTGCCTCAAACACTAGTGAATTCAGCCTCCTGTTAGAATCTACCACTCTCTCTTGCCTCGGCCCCACAACATTGCTCTGGAAGTGTACGGGGGCCATAACTGACTAGAGATTATCCTGAGGTAAAACATAAGACAGCCCCCACCATAAACCTGAGCATAGAGGTTGTGCCAAGGTGGGAGGAAGCTGCAAGTTAGACAGCTAAGGGCTGCTCTGACTTTTGCTGAGGCCAGTGGCCCTGGAGCAGCGCAGGGCTAAGGTGGTATAAAGCCACCTTTGCAGCCCCTCCCACTGGGTTTTGACTTTTGAGGTGCAGCCATCTGAGGGCACAGCATAGGATCAGACCCCTCGCTTCTAATCCTAACCCAGCTACTGACTCACTGCATGATCTGGGGCTAATCATGGCATCTGTGCCTGTTTCCCCATCCCTACCCTGTTGTGAGTAGATACGAGGGTCTCTGGATTCCAACTCTCCTGAAGTGTAGGAGGCAAGTGGCAGGGGAGGAGATTGGGGGGAGGGAGAGAGAGAAGCACCAATATTAAAGAAACCGAGCCAGACCCAAACAGGCCCCTTGGAAGTGGTGCTAAAACCCCACCCTCAGGCAGAATCTGAGGCAATTTCCTTCAGATTGTTCTCACTTGAACAATGAGCTGCAGGCTCCTTTCCTCCTCCTAACCAGCACCAGGGTTAGGAGCCAGGTCTCCTTCTTCCTCCCCGCCCACCAGGGACACTGGATCAGCTAAAGGAGGTAGAGGCCGCTGTGGCTTGCAGGAAACTAACAAGACAGACAGACACAGTGAATACCCTGTACTTTGGGTAAGTTAGCAACAGGGATGGCCCAAGGCAAAACCTGGGACCCAAATCCTGAACATTGCAAAAGTCTGGATCTGGACACCGTGGCTTGGCCTCATCTCTTTTCAGCTGCCGGGGCCTGTCCCTGGGAAAGAGCAAGATAGCACCACTACCAGATGTGAGAAAAGCCTTCCTTAAAAACCTTAAGCCGGGAGATATCAGCAGGTGAAAACAGAAAACTGGGCCCAGCTCCATAGCCTAGACCTCACCTTACAGAGGTCTGGGGGACAGCCCCTTCTCCCCCTACAGAGAGTCTGGAGGTAGGCAAGGACAAGCGAGCTTTGGTTTTGGGTGGAAACCTAGGAGCTTTGCTTGGTTTCCACCTCAAACCAAACAAAGCCTTAACGCTGCAGGCTCATCCAAGCACAAAACCCTGGATAGGAATCCATGACTCTTCCTGATACTTACTGAGAGAGAACCATGAGGAAAGGAGCCCAGAACAGAAAGAGAAGCAAGAGGGCTGAGCAGAGATCCAGGAGAAAGAGGGGAGCTTGGGACCAAGAGCAGACACATGTCTAATGCTTGAAGCAGGCAAGGAGAGACCCAGAGAGAGAGAGAGAGAAAGAAAGACAGACAGACAGACAGACCATGGACAGGAGGCTGTCTCTCAGAAGCTAAGTGACAGAGTAAGGTTCCACAGGACCAGGCAAGAGATTTGGGGGGAGCAGCCCGTGGTCTCTTTATCAGCACCTGGAGATAGAGTTTGTAAAAGTAGCAGCAACCCTGGCTTTATGCTTTGTAGTCCCAGTGTCTGCCCCAACAGACCACTCTCCTTCTGGCCCAGCAGCACTGATGTGTTCCTCAAGGGGTCACTCACCAATCTCGCCTTGGTTATTCAGGTCAAACTCCATGTATTTCTCTGGAAGAGACACACAGAAGGGAGTTAGCAAATCAGAGCAGCTTCAGCAGGCTCTCAGGGCAGCTCCTTCCACATCCCAGCTGAGGTAGAGGACAGCACTGAGTGGCACTGCTCCCTGACTGGGCACAGAGGCTAGATCACCAAGAGGATGCAATGAAACACACAGGGTGGTTATACCGGAATGGATCATTTGCCAGCTAGTCTTGCACCACATGACTCTTCGGAAGCTGGCAACAACCAAGCCTTTCAGAGGAAGGCAAAAAACCCCACACCCCAAAATGCCTAACAGTTGCACTATTGTGTGTGGGTAGGGGAGGAAGCAAGATGGTGAGGCCTACTGCATACAGCACTGAGCTGGGAGTCAGGAGACCTGACTTCTAGTCCTGGTTCTACAATGATCTGTTATGGGACCTCAGGAAAGTTATTTTTCTCTGTGCCTGTGTCTCCCTTGCCACCTGAGAACCATCTGCCTAGTCAGACTGTAAAGTCTTCAGGGCAGGGAATGCCTCTGACTGTGTACATATAGCACCTAGCACCATGGGGCCTTGATCTCAGCTGGGGGGGCTCCAACTGCTACTGGAATACAAAGAGTGATGTGCCTAATACCACCACGGGGTGGTCACACAGGGACACAAATGTCCAAGCTCTTGGGGTTAGTGCCCAGCCTTGAAAGCAGGCTCAACGGGCTCTAAAGCTCAATAATGACTTCCGTTGTGGTTCCTTTCCTACAGGGAAAGGAAAGAAAGAGACATGGTACAAAGCAGTGGCCAGTGGCAGACCAAGGTAACGAGATACAGATGAGGACATTGTGGTATGAAGGAGGGATTTACATTAATACAGTATTGCACAGGTAAAGGGCTGATTTTTCCCCAGTCGCTTAGGTCTGATTTCTTGATGACTTGGAAGGGGCACTGCTCCACTGGGTGGGGTAACCTGTCCATAGGATTCACAGGGAGACAAGAGATCCAGGCAGGCCTGCCCATGTCATGAATTCATCCCCTCTTCGAGGCACAGCGGCTCTTACAGGATAGTGCTCTTTCTTCAAGAAATTTTTAGCCCCACCACTTAAAGGCAGCACCATCACCAGAGAGAGATCAGCCATTAGCAACCATTACACAACGTGCACTGAATAGATTTTCAAAGAGTGCATTTGTTTTAAACTTTGAGGCATCACGTCTATTACCAGCAGAGACACGCCTTTCAGAATTCGCTGATCCATGGGAGACATCATATACGACATTAGTGAGAACTGGGCCAGGGGTTCTGCAATTGAACCTGATCTCAGGTCACATAAAGGGGCTTTGAAGATACAAAAGCCTTTTTGATGGACTAAGAACCAATTAGGCCAAATGCCAGTTCAGAGGTGCCAATTAGTGCCACAGCCCCCCATTCAGAACTGTGACAGGGTCGCCCCTGGGTGAATGCATAGGGCTCGTTAGTGCTAATGGGAGCTCCGTGCATGCAATGCACCTGGGCAACACGTACCACTCATTAGCGAACTGTGTATTTTCCACACTGGGTAGTGCAGCAGGCCTGTATCTCCTCATGTGACAGAGTCTTGCTGTATTTTACTTGGCTGATCTGGTTTCTAGAGTAGATGGATAACTGGTTTGATGTGGTAAATGATCCTGTTTCCTGAAAGATCAGTGCAAGGCAGATGTATTGGGCCACAAATTCTTTGATTTAGCCCCAAGCTGTCAGCTAACTAGCCACTGGATGGTTGAATGACAGCCTTCACTCTGGATTTAAACACTAAGGCACAATGGGCAGGGATGGTTGGAAAACCAGTGAGGGAAGAAATTGTGTCCTTTGACACACCTAAAGAATCAGGAGAATCAAGACAGTGTACAGCTTGGGATGGCTTACTGCACGGAAAGCTAGATATTTACTTTTCAGAAAAGGCATTCCACTGAAACCCACTGTTTGGCACTTGGTATAATGAACTGGCTATTGTGTATATGCACAATTTTCCTCTAGCAGCTAGAATCAGAACTCATCTTTATGTCCATGGCCCTATACTGCTAACCTCTAAAAGGAGATTCTCCTCGAGCTCAAGTGGTAGGAGTCTGGTTTGGGTCAGAAGATTCTGTTGCTCCTGGCAACTTGAAATTCCAAGTTGCTATAGTCTGCAGCATGGCAATAATTGACGCATAAGAGGGCTACAGATGCGTTACAATAACTTTCTATTATGAAAAACAGCCTATGTCTAATACCATTTGAGTTGCTACCATGTAGTTAGTTCCACAAGCATTCCCATTACGCGGTGCGCTATTCCTAGTGGGAAGAGGCTGTGTTATTGTCTCCCCATGCCAGCAAAGCCCCTGGGCAAGTGCTGGATACTGCTCATTATTAATCAGCATCATTTCAGAGTATTAGAGGGGTAGCCGTATTAGTCTGTATCCACAAAGACTTGTAAGGTAACTCCCTTCTCTTCATGTGTCAGTATATTTATGCCTGCATCTGTAATTTTCACTCCATGCATCTGAAGAAGTGGGGTTTTTACCCATGAAAGCTTATGCCCAAATAAATCTGATAGCCTTTAAGGTGCCACTGGACTCCTTGTTATTTCAGAGTATTGTTGTGCTTTACAGTACCAGGCTCAGGAGGACACTCCTGGATGGACAAAGCTACATTCTTCTGCCCCTAAGCTCTAAGCAATGCCCTGATACCACTGTGGTGGGCACTATATTAAGAAATTCCCTCTCTTCTCCACCTTATTTTTGTAACATTAAGCAAGGTCATTTATAGCGGCACAGGGAAGTCCCAGCTCCATCACAGTATTTCCTTGTTCTACGGGCAAATTGCAGTTTAATTGCTCATTGTGCCATGTCCTTGTTCTACCAGCAACAGGTAAATAGCTGCCTCTGTTTACATTGCCCTGTGGCTCAGCTCAGGGCAAGAGGCCTAACCAAGCACAGGCCAGGGCATGATGCTAGAACTGCCCCTATGGCTGAGCAGCAGAGGACCAGCTGCAGGAGGGAATTTCCACCTTGACAAATGTCTCGTCAGCAAGCCCCCTTTCAGTCGCCAACAGAAATCCTGGGCTTGTCGGGGGAATAGCTTGTGACTGGCAGGTGGGCCAGAGGTACAGAGAGCAGCAAGGGACTAGGACGGCAGCTCTTGGGACAAGAGGCAGGTTTAATTCTCTACTCGGAGCGCCCTTCTTTGTGGCTCTGAGTCACTTGGCCAGGCCCAAGCACTGGGGTCACTCCTCCCAGCATACGAATCTGAAACGTGTCCCCCACTGCATGTCTGCTGTGCGCAGTGTGTGTGTTATTTTCTCTGTTCCTCTGAGGATGTTTGACAGGCAGTGCAGAGAACAGAGGCAGCTTTATACCATGGCGCTCTGAGCCTGAGCCTACACGTTCATGTTTCTCTTTCATCCTATGCTGCCGGGATTCAATGGGGTGAAATCCTGCCCTGCTAACCCCAGCGCATTCACACAAACACCGCTTCTGCACAGGGGCTCCTGAGACTCTCTGGCTCAGCTGGGCGAGGGGGACACACAATGCGCCGATTGTTGGGAGAAGCTGGAGGAGGTGTTGGCGGCAGGGAGCGGGACTCCCACAGAACAGGCCATCGAGCCATGGAGACAAATGCACGAGGCGGGGGAGGAGGAGATGCCGAGGCCTCCTGTTACAGGGAGTTCTGCGGCTGTGACCCACAGTCACAATGTTTGAAGAAAGCCCAATTCAGAGGGAAAATAATTCAGGGTTTCAGCAAAAATGGAAGGAGAGGCAGGTGATGGGAGTGGGTGGGAGGGAGGGAGAACCGGGGGAAATTGGAGACATCCAGTTCCCTCACTCTCCACTGGGCAAGGCACCAGCCAGCACCCTCCAGGGCTGAGATCAAAGTCAAAAGCAGCCAATGCCTGGAATGGAAGCAGGTTAGGCAGCTGCCCCAGGGCCCCTAAAGATGGGCCCTTATTTGCTGAGGAGCCGTGCATGCGTGAGGACAGACGACCAAGGGGAGTATGGCACAGAAGGCATGTTTTCCCAGGGCTCCCGGGGATGGGGGGAGGGCCCTGGGGGGCAGGGTCTTTAAGGGTTTGTCTACACTGCAGCTGGAAGGTGTGAGTCCCAGTGCAGGGAGCCAGACTTGCACTAGCTCTGCTCGGCATGGGCAGCAGCTCGGGTTAGCCACCGGAGCTCGGATCTAGGGGATCAGGCAGTCTTGGAGCCTGGTGGCTAGCCCGAGCCGCCGGACATGCTGCTATTTTTGGTGTGCTAGTTCGAATGGAGCTAGAGTGAGAGTCTGTCTACCCCCTCTGGGAATCCCCCTCCCAGCTGCAACACAGACATCCCCTAAGGTTTGAGCATTGGCCTGCTAAACCCAGCGTTGTGAGTTCAATCCCTGAGGGGGCCATTTAGGGATCTGGGGCAAAAATTGAGGATTGGTCCTGCTTTGAGCAGGGGGTTGGACAAGATGACCTCCTGAGGTCCCTTCCAACTCTGATATTCTATGATTCTAACGGCCTGTTGAGAAACAGAGGCAGCCAAGACAGCTCAGCGTGAGACTTGCCCCACCCAAAACGGGCCCAAACCCCGCACCCAGAGAGCCCCACATGCAGATTCATGCTTTGTGCTGCCCTCCTCCCCACCGCAAAAAGAAAAGAAAAAAAACACCATTCCAGGCCTAAACCAAAACCCCAGATCTAGGAACAGGAGAGTTTTGGGTGGAAAATGAAGATGGGGCACACCTCTAAACTCCATCAATATGGACTGGACTAGGAGAAGGGGTCTGGGAGGGAATGGGTTGGGCTGGACGGCAATCTATAGCGCGCTAGGAAAGACAAGAGGGACAAGCGGTCTAAACAGGGATCCCAAGACCCTCCAATTCTGAGGAAGTTTGGAGCCCAACTTTGTAGCAGAGGCTTCTACTCACTTGTCCAATCAATCTAGGTGCTTATATGGCTGCAATGACTTTATTGGCTCAGTATCTCCTAGGATCTATCGAAATACTTTTTCTCTCCTCCCCTTCTCACCCTCTAGGGCCTTGCCTGCACTGGAAGATTCTGTACTTGTTTTCAAGCAATGGTGCAGCCATTGCTAGCATGGCAGCTGTGCTGTTGCTGGAAAACAGGAACACATGTTTGAGCGCAGAGCTGCCCTTAGAGGAGTAACTATTTTGCCACAGTTGTGTGAGAGGTGCCTGCGGAGGGACCACTTGAGGGTGTGTGTCTGTGTGTGAAGACTCATTGTGGGAAAACAAGTCACAGTGAAGGTTAGCGCTTAGTCTGAAACGTGAGGAGGCTGTTATCTCAGTTTAGTCACTTATCTCTTCTGGCAGCGACTTCTACAGTCTGGCTGGTCCTAGCTCCTGGGAAAAGGCTACCCTTGGCACACAGAGTACAGGTGAAAGGGGACAGAGAGCGGCAGCTAAGTCTCACCTTTGAACACCGCAAGTTTCTCCTCCAGATCTTCTTCATCACTGAACTTGGGGTCACAGAGAAATTCCTAATAGGGGCAGAAAAGTCCCAAAAGTTAAAAACACAAGGCAAAGCTCCTCAAAACTCCTAGGGCAAGTCTAAGATGGGATGTGTGTTTGACTAGATAAATACCCAAGAGGGGAATTAACTGCCAAAAGTCAAAAACAGATGCTGTTTACAAAGCTGAATATCATCAGTGCCAGGAGAGATCTAAAATGAGTCAGTTCCTGCCCCCACCCTTATAGCGAGAATCCTGGGGAACCAAGAGGGAATCACAGTGCCTGGAGATTTCTTAATGACAACACCTTCATTGCACCAGCAACTCCGGGACTGTTCTAGCGGCAATGCCGGGGGTTCCTTTCAGTTCTGTCCATAGGCAGACACTAACAGTATTCCTGATATAGCCATATAGAGTCTGAGGTAGCAGATGAGAGACTCCAACCCCCTCACCTCTCTCTCCTCTATGCATACACACCAATGGCTTTTGGTTCTTTAGAGCCAGCACAGTTCTCTCAGTGCTTTGAAGCTCCTGGATTCACTCAGGATGTGGTGCACACTGGATACTAAGTTAAGAGGACCTTTTACTAGCGAGACACAGCTAGTGCCTCTGATGCACTGAGGCAGGAAACAGGTTCTCCCAGGTGCTGGAGGAGTGGCATGCCTGTCAGTTCTGCTCATCCACTTGCAGATGTCTCCAGGCTCCACTGCCATCATCTCACGGCTTTATTATTAAAGTGCCTTAGCACTGCAAGGTGAAGAGCCTGGAGCTCCAGCACACAGCAGGATCTGGACAGCAAGCTCCACCGCTGTGCCCCTCCAGCGAACCTCTGCTGGCAATATACTCCCTGCAGCTGCAAACTGCAGGGTCTTCCGCTTCTTTTCCAGCTTCCCATGTCCACCCAACGTCCAGGAATTTAGTCACTTGGTCCGTGTTCAGCATTCTTCTCTGCAGCAATCATTAACAGCTGCCGTTTATTTTTTTGCTTGTATGGGGCAAGGACCCTCCAAGGGATTGAGGGGCAGTGGGCTGAGGCTGCTGCACACTCCATACATTCATGGCTACACAGTTTGTGTCTGCAACGCATGGGAGTAGCAGAAGCAGCCCCTGGCCTTAAGGTATTGGGATGCCCAGTCGTCACTAACATTACTGGAAACTTGCATGTTCTTTCCTACAACCCTGCTGGACACAGCCTTTACTGCTAACAAAATAGGAACCAGGCTGCTGGACCCCTGAGGTGGCTCAGAAAGTCTCAGCCTACAGCTCTGGGACCATCAGGTGCTGACTCAGCCATCTCTAGTCTGGAGATTTTAGGGCTTTAAGTACATTTGACACCTGTTTCAGAAGAGAGAAAACAACCAGTCAGCCACACCCAAAGCAGTGGCCAGCGTGGATGGTGGGAGGGGTGGGATGTGATGCTTCCCAGGGATACCCAGGGCTGAGAGGCACTTTGCTACCACCTATCGGAGGTCAGCTCCATGACTGCACCGGCCACAGGCAACACAAGCACTGCCCACTAGGCCTCTGCAGGCCCTGCTGTCTCTCAACCGGTTAGTGATAGGCACACTCCAACCCCTGAGCCCTCCAAGCGACTCCCAGAGCTCCCAGTCCCTGATCCACTGGACACTCCCAGTATTCGCAGATTCACTGCTTCCAAAGAAACAGTGCACCCCAGCTTTCCCGTTACCTCTCAGATCATTGCTCTGCTTCACACACAGCACTTAGATAGGTTGATAGTGAAATCAAGTAAAAGTCTATTTAACAACGTGTAGAGGTTCAAGAGATAGCAAGTAGAAATATTGGAAATAGACAGTTACATATAAAACAAAATCAGAACACGCATTTGACAACCTAGACTTACTGCACCAGTTACTGTCATGTCTTCTATCTGGAGCAAATCTCAGCCCAAGTCCTTTCAGTATTTTACAGCCAGGTTTGGCTGTGATCTTCCATTTGTGAGACAAGTCATTCTATCAGCTTGCCCCCCTCCCAAGGAAATATCCAGGGTCTACCTACCTCTGTGTCCCATTATAACCCAACAACCCATTGAGTTTACTTGTAAGCAGGGCCGCCTCCTGATGTTTATTTCTTTCTGCAAATTTCCTCTCTTGAAGGTTTTTGCAACCTCTTGATTAGCATTTGGCTCAGGATGCACACCAGCCTCCACTGTGAGACATACAACACACAGGCGACCAGACACGTTACCCCCTGCCGTAAGAATGTTCGAAGTTTGTCCCCTCCTGGTCACCTGCCTTAAGAACATAATTCTCAGCATAGAAACCTAACTCCTTCAATATTACCCATATACACTTGTCACAGTGATTATGGTAACCAAGTGGCTGCTGGCTTTCAATAGAGACTTCACATGCCACCCTTTAGTGAATTATTGTGCATATATCCAGCCCAGCAGATGCCTGTAAAACTCTATGCACTCCTGTGCCCTCTGCCAGCTGGCACCAAGAGGTCCCTGGGTCACACTGGGGAAACCCCCAAATGCACTGCTGGCTCCTCCCCAGCACAGAGCTGACCAAGAACCCATCTACATGATTCAATTGCAGTCATTTTTTTAAAAAATCCTACCATACTTGCCTCCTCCCTCTCAGAGCCCATCCCATCCCTGCTCTGTACAAACAGCTCCTGGCATTCTTACTTATAGCACAGAGACAGGCCTGGATCAGCACACTAGGGCTGAATAGTAACACCTCGCTCTCACACCGTGCTTTTCATCAGTGCCTCTCCAAGCAGGTCAGTATCGTTATCCTCACCTAATGACTGGGAAACTGAGGTACATAGTGGTGAAGTCTGGATCCAAATCTGCATTCTGTTAAATAGCCCCATCTCTAATAGGGTCCCTCTCAACTCTTGCTAATTAAATTAGTTATTGCTTAATATACCTCTCGAAGGTGCTCAGATTTTATGGTGATGAGCAGAGTGTAAGAACCAACACAGAACAGAATGACGTCCCTTAGCTCTGGTCTCTCAAGCAACCTCAGAGAGATCAAGCAGCTCTGCTGTGTAAAAGCCCCTCACTAAAGATTTCAGTCATGTTACCGCTGGATCATTCTCTCACCACCAGTGAGCCACACTTTATTCAGGTTCTCCTCATGCACAAGCCTGCCTGTTCCATTTACCACCACCCCTGCTCCCAACCATGCTCTCTGCAACTTAACCTGACCTTTCTTTACAGTGACCAGATCTGAACACTGCTCTAAAGGTGGCAAAAGCACAGTATCCTTAGGCTTGTGTAACATACGCTGCCTGATACAGCCTAGTATTGCATTAGCATCTGTTACCACTACAGCACCTCCACTTGAGAATTTAAACAGCTGGTCTAAGCAACACACCCAGATCCTTCCCCTCACCCACGTAAACCAGTCTGGTTCCCTTTGAGCCACACTTGAATAGAAAAAATGATCCAGCTAAGAGTATCACTCTCCCGTTCAATACTATGTTCAGCCCTGGAACCCAGCTGAAAGTGCAAGGGGAGTTTTGGGCGGCAGAATGCCATTACTCAAGGTGGAATTCAGCCAGGTCATCAGGGTTAGCGTTCTATACGTAGAGAGAGTCTCAGGGGAGCGGTGAGGGACACAAGTGGTCATGCCCTTGGCTTCGTATCTCATCCAGAACTCCAGCAGCACACTATCCCCATACACCATCTGCCCACCCTCTGTAGAGCTCATGGGGCACGGTGGCAGACTCGCAGGCTACAGAGTGAACCTGTGTTGGGAGGGAGGGTTATTATGGGTATAAACAATCTCTGCAGAAGTGACCTGTCTAACGTCACAAGAGGAGGGAGTGGAAGAGCCAGTACAGAACCAGGGCCTGACTCCCAGTCCCACGACTTACTGCCGGAACATGCTGAGCAGAGCAGTGGGTATATTTTTCTCACAGAATGGAGGGGTGGTGAAAAAGGAGAGGCATTTAGGATGGGAGGACATCAACTCCTGCTGCCCTAGGCCAGCTATAAGTTGCCAGGGAAGGTGCCCAGATGCCAACACATAAGAGCAGGTGGCACTGACCCAGCAGGTATTCAGCTATCTTGATGTCAGCAGCCAGTTCTCTTGCTACAAGAAGTTGGGGCCGGGGAAGTGGGGGGGAATGCATTTCCTCAGCCGGGGGTGAGAGTCACAGCCCAGCAACCCTCACGGGGCCTGGTCTGGAATGTACAAAGCAACAAGGAAGACATTTCAAATGGAAACATTCCACCCTCAACACTGTATACAATTCCTGTTTGTAGCCACTGTGATAAGAACAACAGGCATTAACAATATCACAGAGGAATTCCACCCCCAGGGTCTGGCGACTTGGGCTCTGCTCTAGCGGTTAAGGTTGCTCCCAGAGCCCTCTGCTGGGGCTCCAGCTTTTAGGGGCATAGTTGCCTATCTAGCATCTTATTACTACGCAGAAGTGCACAAATGAGACACACGAGTGCACAGATTAGACGGAGCTACTCTTGGTTAGAGGTCATCTTCTTTAGGCATATGGACTTGGATGCACAAGCCCTCTCTAACTGCAATACAACTGGGGTAGTAAAAGCACAGACCCCCTCAGCCCCACCCCACTAACCCACCTGGACCTTTCAGGGTATGGAGGTATGATTGCAGCATGTGGAGAGCTACCTAGTTCAGGAACCAAGAGCAGCAAAGCCACCGCAGCATGCATGGTGCAAGCCTGCCCAGGACCCTAGGTGTGTACTCGGGTGGCTAGCTCTTGCAGAAGTCCACGCTGCTATGGCTTCACTGCTATTGGTACCGAAGCGAAATCAAACCTATGCATGCTGCAATCACACCTCCAACTGCAGTGGAGACAGGAGCCTGTCCCTCACGAAGGGTAGGCCCATCTACCTATAGCATTTATAGTGTTTGTAGAGTGCCCATCACTGGGCCTGTCGCAACAGGCCATTGAATTCTTAGGCTCTGCTGAGACTGCCCCTTGAAGCAGGGACCTCAACTGGGGCATTTTTGTCAAAGTCCCTAAAGCAGTCCCCTAAGAAAGAAACACATTGGAAAGGATAGCTTCAATGCCCTTTG